TCCTGTTCTCCCAGGTGACATTTCAGAGTCCGCTGATGTCTAAAGTGTTCGGAGCACTCGGGGGCTCTCTCAAGTGGACCCGCCAATGCTCACGGAGGTGCTGCTTCCGTGTGAAGTTTTTGACGCACTCCGTGCACTGGTAGGGGCGCTCCCCAGTGTGAACACGCTGGTGCCCCAGGAGATGGTGCTTCTGTGAGAAGCGTTTTGGGCACTGGGTGCAGTGATACGGCTTCTCGCCCGTGTGGATCTGCTGGTGCTTCAGGAGATGGTGCGTGCGGCTGAAGCTCTTGCCGCACTCCTTGCAGTGGTAGGGCCGCTCCCCGGTGTGGATCCTGTAGTGATTGGTGAGCTTGGATTTATCCGTGAAGCTCTTCTCGCACGCTGGGCATTTATAGGGTCTCTCCCCCGTGTGGCTCATCTGGTGTCGGATGAGGTGGGAAGAGCGGCTGAAGCATTTCTCACAGTATGGACAGATAAGGGGCCCTTGGCACTTCTCGGCGTGGGTTCTCTGGTGTATGAGGAGGTTGATGTGCAGCCGAAAGCTTTTCCTGCACTCTGTGCACACGTACAACCGCTCTCCTGCCTGCAGGAGATGAGGATTGCTTAGGCTGGAGTTCGGACTGAAGCTGCTATCGCACTCCGTGCTTGGACAGCAGCTGCCTCTTGCCGGGTCAGATTGGAGACTGAGCATCTGTGCCACGCTTTGCTGACGGTCTGGCAAGCTGCCGGCTCCCTCTCCTGCCTGGACTCTCTGGTGCAGCAGGTACTGCTGCTTGTGACCGAGGCCCTTTGCACATTTCGGATAGTCGTAGGGTCCTGCTCTGGTGTGACTCCTCTGGTGAACGATAAGGCTTTTCTTTAGCCTAAAGCCTTTCCCGCACTCGGCACACTTATTAGGCCTGTCTTTGGCAGACTTTCTCTGGTGAATGGCGACTGGCTTGTTGTTGCTGAAACATCTTTCAAGCTGAGCTGGTCCTCTCCTTCCGAGGTGGTTCTTCAGTTGTGATACTGCACTGCACCAACCCTCCTCAGGACCCTGCCCAACGTCCTCCTGGGACGCTCCTGTTAACGTTCCAAGTGCTTCCAGGACGGCAGGGCATTCCTCTTGCTCAGTTTTGATCAGGATCCCATAATCTAATGGATAGGAGAGAGAGAGCTTTTATTTCAGCCTTGTTATTCATGGCTATTATTTGTTAGCTGCCTTCCCTGCATGCACCAAAGTTTTCAAAACTGGGGGCCTAAGCTCACAGCCTCTAAATCCAGTTACCCCTCTACCGAAAAGAGGCCCGGTTTTCAGAGCCATGGAGCACACGCAGGCCCAGCCCCTGGTGCTCTGCTCATGGGAAAGCCCAGCCAGAGAAGAGGTCGCAGCAGTCAAAGCAGGAGGTGATCAAGGTGGGGATAAAGGTTACAACTGCAGGGGAAGCGAAGGAGGGAGGGATTTCTGAGGTGATGTAGAGACAAAAGGAGGAGAGAAGCTGGAATTCTCAGAAGACAATGGGGAAGGGAACAAGGGGAGCACCTCCTGGCTTCCAAACTTCCCTCCCTACTGCCCTCGTTTCGGAGCCATCTGCGCCCCTAGCCTTGGCCTCCTCTCCTTCCCACAGCCAGGCCTCTCTCTTGCTTTGGACGGAGGGGTGGCGGGAGGTCCGTCATTTGCTTGTGCTGCCTCATCTACCTGCAACACTTTTCTCTCCCTCTTCTTTTTCTTCTAACCTCACCTGAGGATGTCAGCCTATTACCTTGGGTCTACAGTCAGCTGTAACCCCAATTCCCCCTCCCCCCACACACACACGTTACTGGACTCGATGCAGGAGTCGCTGGGTGGGATTCAATGGCCTGTGTTATGAGGAGGTCAAACTGGTCCCTTCTGGCTTTAAACTCTGCAGACTACAGCCTCCTTCCATCCTGTCCTCTGGGCACCAAGTCTGCAAGAGGACTCGCTTGCCTATCTGCCCCTCCAATACATGAGCCTGCCCCCCGTACCCCCATTCTCCCATAATTTCCTGGGCTGTAAATTCTCTGCTTGGGCAAGAGTCTGCCCCATCTCTGTAGGGCGCTGCCTTTCCATTCACTCACTGGCAAGCAGAGCTCACCTGGCCCGGGGTCCGTAGGCATTTCTCGCTCCTCCAAGGCTCCTGGATTCCTGACACTCGGCTTTTCCTCTTGTACAATCCAGGATAAAATGTCAGGTTGGGAAATTGCATAATCTATGGAAAGAGACATTGGGGGCTGTTATGTTTTATTGACACTGACGGAGCCGACGTCTCAAACCAAATGTTTTTGGCCAAAGGAGAATAAAACAGCTGGGAGAAGATGGATTTGTCCCATGCAAGCCTGTCAGGGGTCCCAGGACACCAGGGGACTGGACGGCTCATATACAAAACAAGCATTAAGGCCTTGTCTCCGCTACAAATTCCTAGCCAGAACAGCTGAGGCCTCCTAGCGTAGAGGCAGCTTATCCCAACAGAAGGAGTTTTTCCTGTCAGTACGGTAACATCACCTCCCCAAATGACATTACTGTGCCGATCACCTACACTGGAGGCTTTGCCAGCACAGCTGTGTCAGCTGCCGGGGGGGGGGGGGGGGGGGGGCCCCATCCATGACCACCCCAGCTACACGTACTTCCATGGCTTTCTCAGGCATACCTTCCGACAGCGCTTTGTAAGGCAGCCATCCTCCTGGCAGCCCAGGGAGCTGTTTCGAGAACGGATCGGCTCCAGGAAGAAATCAAGGCTGGCTGCTTTAAGAAAGTCCACGTGCCCCGGATGCCGGGCTCCAGAGTCAATGTGCCACCTTCTTCATCCCACCCCTCTATGCAATGGCAGCTGGGGGCCAAAGGAAGATGGGCAGCATGGCAGGACCAATAGAGACCCTTAGAGGGAATGGGAGATTTAGCATCTGACAGTTTCCTGTCAAACGGGAGGATGTGGGGAACCCAGGAGAGGCCCCAGACAGCACTACGAAAGAGACGGCAGCATCCCAGTTCCCCCAGGCTCTGTCACTGCTGCCGTCAGGGCCAGGCAGCTCCCTGAACTGGAACACAGGCATTTCAGCTTGTTCCTCACCAGGTGGGCACCCAGGAGCCTCTGACTGCAGGGTTGGCAGCAGCATCTGAGCCAGCCCTGTTACAACGCTTAGTCGTCTTCAGATGAAAGACATTTTTGGTTTGTCACTTCCTGATACAGAGAAGGGGTGGGGCCTGCAGGTGACACCGCGGACAACCAGCCACCGGCTGAAGGAAATCATTTTCAGATGGGTTTCTAGGGTATTTAATAATGTTGAAAGAACAGTTCTTCTGACCCACATCCTACTGTTGCTCCTGTCTCCCCTCCTTCCCCATCTGCGTCCATCTGTCCGAGAACACAGGGAAGGAAGAGAAATTGGCCCTTTTTAAACTGGCGTCTAAACAGGAAGCCTGGAATCGCCCTATGGGAACTGGCCACTAATCCCATTTTACCTGGTGTCTGCCTCAGCCAAGAGTCTTTGAATCTAGTCAGCTGGGCAATACTGTGATATTTCTTCTCGGCTCCTGGCTCAGATCAGTTCTGAGGCATGAATCTCAAGAGTGCCCAGAACATTTAAAATCTAGATTTCTTAGCTTCTAAACTTTGTAGAGTAACAGGACTTAGGGAAGTGAAGCATGTCTCACCTGGTATCAAACAGCAGTCCATCTTTAATATCTAAGGCAGTATTAGGGAATGGAGACTTTACATCCAATGTAATCTACTGACTTTTTTAATGCTTAGGAGGCTTAAACAGAAATCATTTTAATTAAAAAAACTCCTAATCAAAAGTTAGTTACTGTCCATCTGCTTTCTTCTACCCACCCATTTCTAAGGTGCCTAGTGTCTGCCTGTATCTGCAAAATATTTAGGAGTAGAAAGACACAGAAAGTAGACACCATATCAATCAACCAATTCACTTCTCTCTCTCACTAATGCTCTGAAATACGTGTTATAACAATGAAGAATTAAAAGATCAACACTAGAAAATACACTAGAAAGAACAATTCTGCACTGGCCTCGATGGGTAGGCTAATAAAGACTCAATAGAGTAGAGATAAAGAAGTTCTAGGACTTTACTGCTGTGCTTGTTATCTTTTTGTAGGAGATACCGTAACAGCCTAGAAGTCACCTGTGGCGACTACCATGTGTGTAAATGAAATTATAATTTGTGCAGGCTACAGAAATAATCTCAAACTAGAGAGAAGATTACTGCAGGAGGGCATGTTCCAGTTACGGGGAAATCAAACATCTGAACTTATGGGGCTGCAGTTTCTGAGCGGTAACCAAGAGTCTCTGCATCCTTTGTTTTATCCAGTTTATTTTGCATCTTTATCTTGGAAGGTCTGTGAATTCCTTGCAATCAAGTCATGGGCCATGCTGGAGTCAGTAATGAAGTGTGCATGCTCTAGGCTTATTTTACTGCCAGGAGGATGTTTGTAAAACTGCTCAGTCTGTAAAAGCAGCACTGGATCCCTAGTTATTGAGTGGCTCCTTGTTTACACGCCAAGTTTAGAAGGTTATCTCTGCTGTCTGGCATTTGCATGGGCACTGTCCTGTTCAAAGCTGGTACTGGCTATGCGCGCACACACTCAAATTCCACTGCTGTATTTTTTTAAATCAAGTCTTCCTGGTGTGAGGTGGAGATTCACTCACCTCTGACCCCTTCTCCATTGAGAGAGTGAAGCATCACAAGAATGACCCCTGGCTTTAGGTTTTGCTCTTAGCAGAATTCCATCTTTTAGAGGAGCACAGGGGGGCCTCTCATTTGAGAAAAAAGTCCAAAGACACATCATATATTCCGTAGCTGCTCAGTGGGGATGCACTGCGCAGCTCCTCCTTAGCCCGCACCCCAGGGCCACGCAGAGCTGCTTTCACAGCTAGGACTTTGTCCAGAACTCACAAGATGGACATCACAGAAAAGAAACATTCAGAACTTCGCAGCTTCAGTCGTTTGTTCAAGCTTAATTTTATTATTATTAATAATCAAGCATCTACTGCCGTCAATTTACCCGGCACTTAGAGACAGAGACAGGTTCCCTGCCCAGGAGGGCTCACAGTCTAAACAGTACAAGTTTAAAAGGGAAATAAGGGGGTTAAGTGAAGTAATTAAAAAAACAGACACTGAAGAACTGGCTAGTATACGCGTACTGGACAAAATCAGGAGTGTTCCTCCACCTACCACAGGCCCTCTGTTGCTAAATGCGAAGAGAGATTCTCCTTTTGCACATGTGGCAGGACCCTGTGTTTCTGGAAGATCTGGGCTGTAGCCCTGCTGCCCTCGGGTGGGTCAGGATGGCCATGGTGTGCAGCAATTTGGCACAGGTGAAGCCTGAGGTGCTCATGGATTAGTACACTTGGAAAAATGAATATACACACAGAGACCAACAAGAGACCTGATCACAACCCTCAGAGCCACTGGGAAATCAAAGAACTCACCAATGCTGGGAAAAATAAACTTCTCAACTAAAAATCCAACACAGTATATTAAATACGAACTCCCAGCTGCACAAGGACTAAAACAGTCATGAACTGGTTTTAAAAAAAACTCTACTCAGGTTCATTGGGTTTAAACCCAGCTTGGCTCGGGAGTGCCGATGGGCCCAAATCGGGTTAGGTAGGGAGTGGGGAAAAGGCCCTGTAAATGGCTACAGTCCCCACTCCATGCTCCCATAATGGTTACTGTCCAAATTCAGCGCCCTTCTGGAGTTTGCCTTTATTTAAATGACCGAACAAGACCTTACGGCAGGACTGTACTGAAACAAAGACCTTAGCCCAGCCCCCAAAGTCAATCACCAGCCAATCTCTCTCCTGCGAAACTGTATTAAGGCTTCTCCCTGCAGGTCCCCCTTTAGCTCTCTCTTCCTTAAAGGCCCACAGCCTTTGATGTTCCCAAATGGAGCTAATGAGACCCACCCGGGTCTGACTGCCAGACTGAGTCAGTGGAACAGCTCTGCCCCTCCCTGAGGGGCCATAGTCCTAACAACCAGACACCAGGTACAGGCCCAAACTGGAACCCAGGAGAGGACAATATAGTTTCTAACCCTGGATTAATATGATGTGACCAACTAAAACAGGTTTCAAACCACTTCAGGTGGCAGTTTTCGCCCCAGTGTAGCTGAGATCTAAACATTTAGACAATGTACCAAATAAATAAATGTTACCAAGCTGTGTGAGTTTAACAGTCCCGGAGTATGGCAAGCCCTGATTCCCAAAAATGAGAGTAAAAGAACTGAGAGGAGAATAAGAGAAGCAGATACACCATGAGCTGCACAGAAAGGAAACAAACAAAATACTGTGCAGACAGGAAAAATACTGACCAGATAATAAATAAACAGAAATATTATGATACAGCTACCAGGAAAAAGAGGGCAATCAAGACAGTAATTCACTGCAATATGAAATTCAGCAAGCGTTTGAGTGTAGTGAAAGTACTGTCTCCTGCTAACAATTTGTTTTTCTATTCAATTGCATTGTTTGTGTCTTAAACAGAGGTATAAAAGGAAACCTTGCGAATGCGCTCTCGCCTGCAGATGTACTCACGTGCGATGAGTCTTGGACCAAATTCTGATCACAACTACTGCAGCATAAGTCTGGAATTACTCCAGAGTCTTCAGTGGGTTCCCCCAGATTTACAGTGTCATTTAGAAAGAATTTGGCCCAACTGACAGCATATGAGAAGTCAGTTTCAGTGCTAGAGAAGGAGTTGGATGGATAGTTCCAGGGAACTTGGCAGCTGCAGAGCAAACTTCCTCTGTCTGCCCTGTTCATATGCCTCATCACTGCCCTACCCCTAGCAACCAACTCCCATTCCCTGGCATCTGCCCAGAGACAGTCAGCAAGGGTATCACTCAGTGCCCCGTGTGTGTGTATACTTTTAGTAACCTGTAGACCGTTTGGGGCATGTACGACATGTGACTAACTTATGGAACTGACTGCTGCAGGATATCGAGGGGAGTAGCTTGCATATTGCCAATTCCAGACAAATAGCAGACATTCCCAAGAAACATATTTAGTTATCACTTCAATTAAGTGATTCAAGTCACTTGTTTTAAAACTTGGAGCATTTCACATTAAAAGTGAGCTGCGAGATACCGCAACACACCACCACTCCAGCAAGAAGTTTGTGTGGCCCCTACCCTACAGTGTGCCTCCTTTGGCGATAAATTGTCTGCACCAATGAGCACATGGCGACAGTACAGGGCCATAGCACTGAGTGGGCCCTGGGTGAGCTAGAAGAAGATGTTGTCTAGCAAAGCGTCTCTCATGTTCTGCACGTTTAGACGATTCCTCTCGCGGGTGTGGATTTTTTGGTGCTGGAGCAGATGCTGCTTTTGCGTAAAGCTTTTTGTGCACTCAGTGCATTGGTAGGGTCTCTCCCCCGTGTGGATCCTCTGGTGTCGAATCAGATCCGAGGGGTGACTGAAGTTCTTCCCGCAGTACGTGCACATTAACGACCCTCCACTCCTTCCCGTGTGCATTCTCTGATGCGTGATGAGGCTTTTCTTCTGAGAGAAGCACTCCTGGCACTTATTACACTTATAGGGTCTCTCTCGCACGTGGCTTTTCTGGTGCTGCCTGTAAGGTGATTTGACGTTGAAGCTTTTCGTGCATTTAGTGGCACTGTACGGCTTGTCCGCTGTCTGGATTCTGGGGTGGGATTTCAGGTGGTGATTCTGTTTGAAGCTTTCCTCACACTCCACAGAGCTGTAAGTGGCCCCTCCAGTGTGGATTCTCTGGTGCATCGTCAAGTGCTGCTTGTACACAAAGCTTCTCTCACACGTTGCAGGTTCATAGCATCCCAGCTTCGTGTGACTTCTCTGGTGCATCGTGAGGCTCTTCTTCAGCCGAAAGCCTTTCCCACACTCAGCACACACGTGTGGTCTCTCACCTGGGCAGCTTCGCCGGTAAAAAGTCACAGCGTTGCTTTCCCTGAAGCTTTCTTCCCCGGGCACTGACTCTACCGGCCTGTCCTTGACATGGTTCCTTGGCTGCATTATTGAGCTGTCTGGACTATCCAAAGGCCTTCCCTCCCTGGGAGTCCGGAACACAGTTTCTTCAGACAGTCCAGAGAATGTCCTTCGCAGCTGCAAGTGTTTGAGACGTTCCCCATGCTCCAGCAGCTCAGTTTGGAACATGATTCCATTATCTGCTGGAATAAAACAAAAATAAAATACAGAAAATTTTATTGTGTCTGCTTGGGAATAAAGGAAACCTGTTAATCATTCCCACGTCATTACACAAGCCCGTTACGGTCGGTTCTCCCAAGCAAACGAGCTAGAACAGTCCTGTGCAATGGTTTGTGTTTGGAGGAGGACAGGGGGAAAAGACAGATTCCAGCAGCGCTGAGCATCCGGCTCCCCTTGGAGACAACAAGCTCAACAGCAGTTTGATTTCCTGTTTCATGCCTGGGAACACCAGACTGTTACCAAGGCCACTGGAGAATCGGGGCGAAGCAGCTACATTTCCCCTCTCAATCTAAGCTTTCATGTCTAAAGAGACAATGCATGTCACCGGCTGTAATTCCCCCCCAGTGCAGAAGACTCGCCCAACGCACTTAAAGCCTTCACACAGCACTTAAACTGCGTAAAGCCACAATACAAATGGCATCAGGAGTTTCCATCGTCACTGACTCTCGGCTGCTCCGCATCAGCTGTGCTTAGTTTACAAATCAAACAGTGCATCCTCTGGCTACCAGCTCTGCAAACTCAGCCTGGGATCTGAGAGGCAAGCCGGGTTCTTCCTTATAGCACATCACCCCGAATCCCAAAGATTCGGCAGGCCGGCTCAGGTCTTTAGGGACGCCTTTACAACCTCCCTCGCCTTCAGTGGGCGTGCACAGGCGTAGCGGACTATCCCTGTCACTGGAACCTAACGAACAAGTCTGTTGATGATGCACGAGGAATCCAGCTCACTCCCTTTTAGGCTTTGAGTTATAAGAACTTATTTTAGTCTCTCATGCCAGCAGACGTGAATGAGTAGACCTAAGAGCTGGCTGAGTAAGACGGGGTCATGTTCACACACAGCGACAGAGTAGGTCTGGGCTTTAAGAGATGCTGGGAGCCCTTCTGCACCGGGTGAATTTCACCCTTTGGGAAGTGGTGTCAAGGGTTTTGCTGGCCACACTGGATATAGATTTAAACGAGTTTTTTAAAATATCCTCCTAACATTGTCCCGGCTGTTGCTGAACTCCTCACTCTGGCCTGCAGCCCAGGGTCACTGTTCCCTGGCTCCTATATATGGCAGAGGACTCTGTCTGTGGTGCCTTTTCACGGCAACGCAGACCACAGTTCTGCCAAAAGCTCTTCCTACGACCTTGGGGCCAGAGAATCCAACCTCTCTTCCTCCGCCTCGGGGACAGCAGCTGTCGCCCGCGTCAACCGAGTTACAGTAGCATCTAAACAAGAGACTTTATACAAACCGGAGAGAAGTAGAAACAGAGAACAGCACTTAAACTTCACCTCGTCTAGCGGCGACTGTGGCTACCCGCACTAGAGCAGGCTCGGAGACTTCGATAGAAAAGGGGGGAAATCGGTAGCTGTGGCTTTCCATGATAAAGCTCTCTCATAGCCTTGTCAGTCAGCACTGCTCGTCCTTACAGCCACTGTCTGTCCAGCGGGCTCTCAAAAACATGCCCCTTGCCTCTGTTCTCTCCCTCAGGTTCGGTGCTCCCTGGAGGAGGCCCTCCGTCCATCCTCACAACTCCCCGGCAGGGAGCCAGTCAAACCCTCTTTAGAAGCCTCGGTTTGGGTTATTGTAGGTGTTGAGACCTCATGAACATGAGACGTTCTCCACGTCACCACCACCGTCCCACAGCCATCGCCACATTACAGCATCTTTCACTAAGCTTCCTTTGCTCAAACTGTCTGTGCTGCTGCTTCCTTCCCTATACAAATGGGTCAGCATCTTTCATTCTTCAAAGGGAGTGGGCTCATTTCCAATGGCTCTTTGGATCCTGGGCACGCACCTTCCCCTTTGCTCCCTTGGGAGTATCTGCGCAGATGTCCTTCTTAGAAGAAGAAACATGAGCAGGCTAATTGTTTCCCATTCTTGGGCAGGACGACCACTGTCTGTGCACACGGATCCCGTCACGATGGGTCAGACCACACAGAAGGTTTCATCGTCAGGACATTTGCCACAGTTCTCCAGTCACCTCTCATCTCCAAGCTGGCTTCACAATCTTCCCAGAACCCTGACAGGCTAATCCTCCAGAGAGACCAGGCCATGCCATCTGGCCATTCCAATCTGAGCATTTCATTCCAACGGGCTTGGCTATGAACCTGTGATACGGACCACAACCCAGCCAAAGGGCAGTGCATGAAGAGCATCGATAAATAACAGCTATCGAGTCAGGGGGAGGAGTCCGACAGGGCAAAGCAGGGATCAGGCTTATTTTAGGTCTTTACTAATGACTGGGAGGAGGAGTAAATAGCGTATTAATGGGATTGACAAAGGTTACTAAACTGGGCAGGTTACAACATCAAGAGGAACGACCAGGAGAAGATAACAAGGTGGGTAAGAGAACAAAAGGAAATTCAACCTGGAAAACACAATTAGCACATTGAGGGGGAAACAACCTGGGAAAACGCGTACTCAGAAAGTGGGAGGAACCTCAAAAACAGGAAGTGACCCATGGGGTGGGAACAGACTGTTCATTAGTTAAGAGCTTTTACGACAACGATGGTGACGAAAAGAGCCAATGCAGTTCGGGGCAGCACAGAGACATCTCCCCACTGGGCAGAGGGCATCGTCCCTCTCTATATCGCTGTTGTGAGACTGTACTAGGGTTGCCAACTTTCTAATCAACAAAACCGAACACCCCTGCCCCGCCCCTTCTCCGAGGGCCTGCCCCTGCCCCACCCCTTTTAAGAGGCCCTGCCCACCACTCACTCCATTCCCCCTCCCGCCGTCGCTTGTTCTCCCTCACCCTCACTCACTTTCACTGGGCTGAGGGTTGGGGTGCAGGATGGGGTGAGGCCAGAAATGAGTGGTTCAGGGTGCAGGAGGGGGATCTGGGCTGGGTCAGTGGGTTGGGGTGCAGGAGGGGGTCAATAAAAGCTATTACCTCACCCACCTTGTCTCTCTAATACCCTGGGACCAACATGACTACAACACCACTACATTCAGGGTTACTTCCTTAGTGTCTCTGGTACTATTCAGCCTCTACACACAGCTACTAGAAAAACTGGTGCAGGAGTGGGTGTGGGGTGCATGCTCCGGGAGGGGGCTCGGGGCTGGGGCAGGGGTGTGGGTTCTGAAAGGGAGTTAGAGTGCAGGAGGGGGATCGGGGCATGGGCTCCAGCTGGGCGGTGCTTACCTCAGACAGCTCCCAGTCTGCAGCGCAGCAGGGCTAAGGCAGGCTCCCTGCCTGCCCTGGCTCTGCTCAGTTCCCAGAAGCGACCAGCATGTCCGGCCTCCTAGGTGGAGGAACCAGGGGGGCTCTGCACACCTCCCGCGCCCGCAAGCACTGTCCCCACAGCTCCCATTGGCCGTGGTTCACAGCCAATGGGAGCTGCGCAGCTGGTGCTGGGGGCGGGGACAGCGCACAGAGCTTCCCTGATTGCCCCTCCGCCTAAGGGCTGCAGGGACATGGCGGACGGTTCCGGGAGCTGTGCGGAGCCAGGGCACAGGGGGCCTGCCTTAGCCCTGCTGCGCTGCCAACCGGACTTTTAACGGCCCCATCAGCGGTGCTGACTGGAGCTGCCAGGAACCCTTTTCAACCGGGCGTTCCGGTCAAAAACCGGACGCCTGACAACCCAAGACTGTACCTGGAATCCAACTTTCACTTCTAAACACATCGGTGCCAGCATTAGTGAGCAGGTGGGAGGAATTATGGGAAGAGTAACCAAGGCAATCCGGTCTGTCGGGGCTGATTTATGAGCAAAGACCGAAAGCTTTAATGGCCCAGTCCTCAGGCCTGGCATCTGGAGTTCGGAGCCTTCTGGAGCTGTGCAGAGCACCTGAGCCCCAACCACACCTTTGTGATTCCCCATCCCCTCCTCAGGGAGGGGCACCCAACCCCTTCTCAGGGCTGGAGTCAGCAACTCCGCTCCATCTGGGTGCCTGGGGGTGATAGCAGGGAGGCAGTGAGCATGGGCAGGGCTTATGAGACCCCATGCAGGGGGCAGGCTCCTCACTGGTGGCCCAACAGACTGAATGGGCCATACTCCTGGTTGGCAGCCCCAGGACGGAACCGTCAGCTAGGAGCTGACCATGGGGCCCAGCATCCCCACAAAGTGATCAGGGAGCTGCCCCTCCCAGCCAATGTACTCGCCTTGTCTTATTTCAGCTTCGGGACCCTCCCTGGTCGTCCTTTGTCTCCCCCACAAGGTGGTCGCTGCCATAGCATCTGCTGCCCCAGGAGGGAGAGAGGGAGACCAGGAGCCATGTGTCTGTTTTATTTTGGGGGTGGGTTACTCCATTGCTTAAGCTGCCACATGTTCCTGGTACTTTCCCTCCGTTAGGGGGAAATTCTGTACTCAACGCTGGCCTTAAACCCTTCCTTCCCCCTCCCCTTGTCCTCAGACTGGCTCTGGACCCTTGTCCCCCGCACGAGCCTGCAAGAACACTCCCAGCTCCACCCCGCTTCCTCCCCCTCCACATATACCTCCCCCCCGGGGAAGTCTCTGTATGGTGCCAGCTCTCCACTCTACCTCAGGCTGCACAGTATTTTGGGAGACCGCTGATAACTCACCAGTGCTGGGCTCTGAGAATATGTCCACTTCCTCCGAGGGCCCCTGCTCCTCCTCTCGCTTTACCCGGGACACACAGCTTGGCTCGGAAAACGCACACTCTATTAATGGAAAGAGAAAACAGGCGGCAAGTTGACTCTCTTCTGTGAATCCCCTTTGCCCCCATCGCAGCATCCTTCTGTCCTCCCCTTGCAACCGCCAGCAGGTTCACTCCAAGCTGTATGGCTTTTACACAGGACTTCTCTTCCCGCGTCTTCTGCTCCCTCTGCCCCTTTTCATAAGAGCTTTCCCCAGCTCTCGAAAGCAGGGGCCTCTCTCCTACCTCACTCCACGCATTCTGTGACAAGATAGCTACAAGGACACTGCTGTTTCAGCACAGCACTCACCGACTGGGGGTTCAGCCGGGATCTCTCTTTCCTCCGAGTTCTCCTGTCCCTTGGTGCACGGCTCTTCCTCGCCTTCACTCTGGCAGGTCGCGTCCGGTGTATACACCAGTGATTCTGTGCATGGGAAAGAGAAATCCCATTATGTTGTTCTAACATCTCTACACTGTAGCTGCTAACGAGTCACTCAGCCGGAGCTGAAAAACTGCATCTATAGCAGTTCACAAACACCTTTGTTTCCTGCTTAGATACGATGGAGAGGACACCACGGAAAGCCCTAAAATAAGGAAAAGATGACGAGTTTACCTGTGCTGGGCTCTGCAGGAATTTCGCTCTCCTCTACGTCTCCCTCCTCCCCCTCGCAGGGCGCTTCCCCTCGTTCAATCCGCGCCAGAAGGTCAGGTTTGGAGAGTGCATAGTCTATTGATGGAAAAACAGATCAGCGTTCCCTGGCTCCATGTGGCATTGAGCACTACGAGATTTTAGGCACCCCGTCACTGCTCGAAGTGGTGCGTAATGGGAACAAAGCTCCTAGAGAAACAAATGTCTGGTGAGGGAGGAGCAGGGCTGCCTGCTGGAGGTTCAGGGTTCTCCATGCAGAGAGAGATCGTTATCTTTCAGGCACTAAGTACTAAGCTACTTCCCTAGTTATTAACCTGCAGTCAGGCCAGAGACCCATCCAGGCCAGAGCCTGTCTAGGGGGTAAGCGATGGTTATTTTGTGTCCACAGTTCCTGAGACCAGAATGAGAACCTGCTTGGTTTATTAGTCTCCTACATTAGACCTAAAGGGTGGATTACAAGCACCAGATCCCACCACAAGCTGATTGTCCATCGATCCCTCCACTTTGTTGAGTTTTTCCCCATCTGGCCCCTTGTCTCTCCTGCCCACTGTCTTTAATCCAACCTGTTCCCACCAAAGCTTGTGAGGTTTCCAGCAGCCCAGGTGTCTCCAACACACAGTTCAGCCACAGGCCATCAAGTCAATGCCTCCATAATCCACGGTGCTTGTGTACTACACCAACAGCACATGCGGTCATGCCTCCCTCTAGCTACAATGTTTCCTCTGTGCATTTCCCACCGAACAATTCTCTGCCCCTGGTGTTCTTCCTCTGTTACCCTGTTCAGTAGGAGATTTTCATCGGCACCACACATGGAACAAAGCAGGTTTCTGGATGCGTACTTCCAAGTAATGCAACCATTATCCACAGCCAGAAGGCTCTGGAGATGGAGGGACCAGGTCATCCCTGCATACCTTTCATTCTAAACCGGCATCAATAACAGTGAAAAATGTGTTGACCCATCACGAAGATTCTATGTCCAGTGCAAATCCATTAGCCCAGTGCTGGAGCTGGCCCATGACTATCTGAGATTGCAGAACATCTACTAAACGAGTGAGAACCAATATTTACCCAGCGAGATCAGAGACTCATAGTTCCCCTTCATCACGTTCTTGTAAAGCTCTTTCTGCCATTCGTCTAAGTTCTGCCATTCTTGCTCAGAGAAGTAAACAGAGTCGTTTTCAAATGCCACCGGGACCTGTAATCACAGAAGTTACAGATTCATTCAGCACCTTGTATGGCACCCCAGTGCCATAAAGTCAACTGCCTCTTTCATCTTCTTTAGCCTTTAAGAGACGGGGGTGAGGGGGACGACACACAAGAACATTTCTCATTATTATAATTTATTTTTACAGCTTCCATAAGAGTTCCAGGTACTGTACAGAAACCCACAATGCTTCCCCTCCAAATGCCCAAAATTCAGACACAAACATGAGGAGAGGAACAAAAGGGAGGGGAATGACCACACTCTCTAGAAGAGCATCATTTGTGTTACTTACTGGGAAGCCCACTGTGAATGCCAAAGCACTGGTACCCTCATTCCCATTGAGCAGTATCTTAGAGCGTGTCTACATGGGGAAGAATTTCAGAAGAGCTAGTGCAGAACAGCTATTCCACACTAAGTGTGCCTTTGTGTAGTGTAGGTTAATCCATTTTGGAAGTGGATTAACCTAAACAGCAAGAAGGCAGTCTTAGTGCCGAGTAAGAGCGTCCACATGGGGTACTCTGCTTTTTAGACACACCATATGGCCGAGTATTGTCGCCGGAGGTGCCTGATACCAAGTGGAAGTAAGACTGTGGCGAGCGCCTTCCACTTCCGTCATGCACAAACGAGCAGAGAGCTGAACGTAGTTCTCAATGGTCCGCGAATAAAGCACGATTCACACCCGGTCCTTCTAGGCGTCACGTTGGAGAGAACTCTCACATTTTGTGACCATCTGACAAAGACAGCAAGTAAGGTCAAAACACACAACAACCTGCTTGGAAAACTGGCCGGGACGCCATGGGGCGCCAAGGCCCAACTGTTACACACTTCAGCCTTGGCACTCTGTGACTCAGCAGTGGAGTGCTGCGCTCCAGCCTGGGCTTGCTCATCTCACACAAAGGTGATCGACGTACAATGTAATTCTGCCATGCGTATTATTTCAGGCACGCTTAAATCTACTCCTCTACCATGGTTACTGGATCTCTGCAATATTGCTCCACCCAGCATTCGCAGAGAGGAAAGGGTAGCAAAGCTCGTGATGAAACTATGTAATATGCCACATCTACCATTAATTAAAGCCTTGTTTAATCCACCACATGGTCGTCTGCCCTCACGGCGCCCTTTGTGGATAAGTTTCCCAGGTGAGGGATTTATGGTAGAGGATGTGTGGTGAGCTTCATGATCCGCAGAGAAAGTGACAAATAATTATCTTGTCTCAGACCCCACTCAACATCAACCTGGGCTTGATTTACTGCGAAGGCAATGGAGCCTTCTGAACCGGTTTCATACTGGACACGGACTTTGTGCTGCAGCGGAATTTCGGTGGCATTTTAGAGACAGTCCATTAGGTTGATGTGGGCAGCCACAAACCATGGCACACATTGTTGAGGACAGCAAAATGACTCAACTTCCCGGCGGCTTTCATGCCTTGAACATCATTGATAAGAACGCCGTGGCTTGGCTTGACCAGATTGCATGCGCCAAATAAATACACACCACAACTATTTTCCAGTAACTTCCCCATGCCGACAAGCCCTTACTTCAAGAGTCGTTCCAGTGACTTCAGTGGGACTAGTGGTGGATGAAGATACTGCTCAGAGTGAGTAATGGTTTGTGCATCTGCTCCTTTGTGATCAGATACAATACAGCGTTCATTTAGCTGATGGATTTCGTTTTATTTATGACACTTCACAGCAGTCAAGATTTTGTAAAGAGTAATGAAAAGGTAATAATCCGAGCTACCCCTGCAGAGCCCTGTTCAATATCTAATGAGAAGGGGAGAGAGGCTGACACCTACGAGTGAAGTATCAGAGGGGAGCCGTGTTAGTCTGGATCTGTAAAAAGCAACAGAGGGTCCTGTGGCACCTTTAAGACTAACAGATGTATTGGAGCATAAGCTTTCGTGGATGAATACCCACTTTGTCATCTGACGCATGTGTCTGACGAAGTGGGCATTCACCCACGAAAGCTGATGCTCCAATACATCTGTTAGTCTTAAAGGTGCCACAGGACCCTCTGTTGCTACCTACGAGTGAGTTAAAATAAACAGCACAAACCTCAATAACAATTTATAAATTGAATAAAGCTTCCAAATTCCTTGACGCAAACTATTTGGCCTATAGACTGCACAGATTGTTCAGGCCATACTTGCAGAGCTCTAGCCAACTTACCTCAAATGTATTTGGTTTGTAGAATTTACAAAATTCCACTGGCTACTGCTGTAGAGTTTATAAACGTGGCAAGATCAAAAAGATTATAAAGTCCACAGACACAACACAGTGCTTTCGGATTCACTCAGGTTTCTACCATTATATAACATATTGCACTAGATCTCACAGAGGAAAACGAACAGATATGGAGTTTCTACACCAAGTTGTGTGAGAAGTCAACTTACAAAAATAAAGACTCTTTGAAGAGTGAAACCTTTTGAAAATGTTCCTCTCTCAAAAATAATGGGCCCATTTAACACTAGACTTTCCCAGAAAATCCCTTCACTGCCAACAGGCCACGTATACAAAATTACAGGCATAAAGGCGTTTGGGAATGTTAGAGTCAGGGCGGTAATAATCAGAGAGATAATGAAAACTGTTTTACTACAGTTCTTGAATATTATTAGCTACATCGTTACCTTGGGGATTTCCCCCTTCGTGCCTGGGGGGAGTCTCAGGATCCAGAAGTTCCTGTTCTTCAGCAGGTTCTCCATGTTCTCCAGCCTCCTCTGCAGCAGCCCGTACTCCTGGATCAGAGTTCCCAGCGCCGCCCACTTACTCTCCATTTGGTTCCCAAAATCCACTACCGTTTTCTCACAGTCAAAATATTTCTTTTCTGTTGTCACTGTTCTACGCTCCAGGTTCAGTAACCGCGTGGCATGAGAATCCACCTTCTTTTCCACTGCTTGAATTGCAGCTAGAACAGTCCACAGCGAAATCTCTGCAGAGTTTGGCTTTGTCTCTTTAGCAGAAGTTTGTTGAGGAACAGTAGAGGGCTGGAAAGGTGTCCACTGCTGGGACTCCATCTCCCACTCCTGATCCTATTCACAAGAAGAGAAACTGAGATCAAGTTGGGGTCCCCTCACCATCTGTCACACCCAGCTACAAAGAGAAAGTGCAAGAACTGCTCACCCTAGGCTACTCAGCACTTCCTATGTCTGGATGTTTATTTTTATCGGGTCACACTCCAGATGTGACCATAAAAAGCAGGTTCACACTATTATACAACTAATTTGCTAGTTTTATAACTGACCGTTTAGACTGCATCGGGCTGACGCTTGATAGCTGCATTGCACAGACAATGACCATGTTTTACTAATATTTGAACCTGATCCTCATGTTCAGTAATGTCCCGTTACACCATTAGGGAAGCATCAAGGGGCCTCATGTGTTAACGAGGATCAGGGTTTTTTAATCAGCTTTGCACAATTTTCACTTCCAAGATGGCTCTGAAGCCGTTTCAGGCACTTTTTCTCCCCTCCTTTGCCTCGGTAACGGCTTCTTTTCCTAACCCAGTATTTTTCCTGTGCTGGTGACTTGTGCTTTATATTTCAAGATATTCAGTTTATGTTGGTTTGTAATGCACCTGACGCACATATCCAGCAACTCTTTCTCTGGCAAGAGTCAATAACATGCAACTACAAAACGTTACCCCTGATGCTGTCGCATAACTCAGGCCTAATGTCACACCAGTGAAAGGGAGAGTTCTTTGTGTGTGTATTCACATTGCAAAAAGAAACCCCTGGTATTAAACTCTGACATTTCCGCAGCGTCTTTCATCAGAAGAATCAGACCTCAAAGCACTTTTCGGGCTATTCAACCACTGTAGTAATTTGGAGACAAAATGCAGAGTAAGCACTGCAGTTAGCAGATAAATTCTGCTCTCAGTTACACCAATATGAAAGTAGAGTAACTCCACAGAAGTCAATGGAGTTACTCTGAATTGGCACCAGGATAAATGAGAGAAGAAATTATCTCCTGTTTGCAGAACCGTGCTTGGTGTTAGTGACAACACTGAGCACTGGAACTTAGCTCCTTTTCCAGGCAGGCCACGTCTACACCACACAATTAAATCCACCTAAGTTCGGGCTTGTCTCCACTACCGGGAGATCAACGCTCAGAGATGGATTTAGCAGGCCTAGTGAAGACCTGCTAAATCGATGGCAGAGCGCTCTCCAGCTGACCCTGGTACTCCAGCTCTCTGAGAAGAGTAAGGGAAGTTGACCGGAGAACGTCTCCCGTCAACACAGCGCAGTGAAGACATCGGGGTAAGTCGACTCCAGCTACGTTATTCACATAGCAGCTGGAGTAGCGTAACTTAGGTCGACTGACCCCCTTAGTGAAGACAAGCCCTTAGGTAGACTTACAGCAACTACAGTAATCACTGCCGTTTTTCACGTCCACGCTACCCTCCTTCTGTCAGTGGTGCATGTCCTCACCAGGAGAACTTGCACTGACGTAAGAGGGGCAGTCTGGGGGGCTGAGAGCCCAGATGCCACCCAGGCTCTCAGCTCCCAGCAGAGGGAGCTCCATGCGGAGTGGGGAGATGAGAACCCAGGCGGCAGCCAGGCTCCAGCTGGGAGCTCTGTGTGTAGTGGGATCAGAGAGCCCGGGTTACAGCTGGGCTCCAGCTGGAAGCTCTGTGCGGAGCCCACAGCCCGGTCTCTCAGCGCAGGGCAGTGAGGCTCCAGCTGTCAGCACTTCTGGGTCTCACAGCTGGAAAAAACACTTCCCCCTCCCCTCCACCCCCAAGCTCAATTTCGAAACGGGGACTCTACCAGCAGTGAAACTGCCATTCTTGTCCATTTCACAACTCCAGCGGTCAGCCACCCTGACAGCCAACAGGCGATGAAAGTAAGGCAGTGTCTATACAGACATTGTGTCACCCAAACTATGCCGACCTCAGCCTTATGCCTCTCGTTCAGGTGGATTTACTAGGTCGGAGTAATAGGTGAGTTACAGCCGCGGGAGGAACACTATAGCATGTACGCTTACATAGTTAGGTTGACGTAAGCTGACCTAACATTGTAGTGTGGATATGCCCTCACATCACATACCCCCAAATTAATTTTAATAGGTGTCCTAACAAATGGGAGAAATCTATAGCCATACTAGAAAATTACTGTTCTACTCAATTTCTTTTGGTAAGAAAACAAAACTAAAGTAAATTCAGCCTGCTTTTCACAAACATTTGTACGGTATATAGGCATAGCACAGTATTAGCTATGAGCATGTGTTTAATTCTGTGTCTATTGCCCCCTAATTCTTTCCCTTGAAAGGAATGTTCACTCATAAAAAAAAAATTGAGCTTAAGTACATCAGAAGCAGGAAGCCTGCTAAACAATCAGTGGGGCCACACTAGACGATTGAAGAGGAGCACTCAAGGAAAACAAGGCCATTACAGAGAGGCTAAATGAATTTTTTGCATCAGTCTTCACTGCAGAGGATGTGAGGGAGATTCCCACACCTGAACCACTCTTTTTAGGTGACAAATCTGAGCTGTCAGTAGAAGAGATTTTGGAACAAAACTGATAAATTAAACAGTAATAAGTCACCAGGACCAGATGGTATTCATCTGAGAGTTTTGAAGGACATCAAATATGAAATTTCAGAATTATTAACTGTGATATGTAACCTATTGTTTAAATCATCTTCTGTACCAGATGACTGGAGGATAGCTAATGTGACGCCAATTTTAAAAAAAGGCTCCAGTGGCGATCCCGGCAATTACAGACCAGTAAGCCTAACTTCAGTACCAGGCAGACTGGTTGAAACTATAGTGTGAATTGTTGGGGAAGAGTCAAAATAGCTTTTGTAAAAGAAAATCATGCCTCACCAAGCTATCAGAATTCTTTGAGTGGGTCAACAGACATGTGGACAAGGGTGATCTACTGGATATAGTGTACTTGGAATTTCAGAAAGCCTTTGACGAGGTCCCTCACCAAAAACTCTTATGCAAAATAGGCAGTCATGGGATTAGAGGGAAGGTCCTCTCATGGATCAGTAACTGGTTAAAAGACAGGAAACAAAGGGTAGAAATAAATGGTCAGTTTTCAAAGCGAAGAAATGTAAATAGCAGGGTCCAAGGATCTGTACTGGGACCAGTGCTGTTCAACATATTCATTAATGATCTGGAAAAAGGGGTAAACAGTGAGTGGCAAAGTTTGCAGATAATACAAAATTACTCAAGAGAGTTAAGTCCAAAACTGACTGTGAAGAGTTACAAAAGGACCTCACAAAACTGGGTGACTGGGCAACAAAATGGCAGATGAAATTCAAGGTTGATAAATGCAAAGTAATGTACATTGGAAGACATAATCCCAACTATACATATAAAATGATGGGGTCTAAAATTAGCTGAAATCACTCAAGAAAGAGATCTTGGAGCATTGTGGATAGTTCTCGAAAACATCTGCTCAACATGCAGTGTCAGTCAAAAAAGCTAACAGAATGTTAGGAACCATTAGGAAAGGGATAGATAATAAAACAGAAAATATCATAATGCCATTATATACATTGATTACACCCACATCTTGAATACAGGGTGCAGTTCTGGTTACCCCATCTCAGAAAAGATACATTAGAATAGGAAAATGTATAGCGAAGGGAAACAAAAATGACTAGGGGTATGGAACAGCTTCCATATGAGGAGAGATTAAAAAGACTGGGGCTGTTCAGTTTAGAAACAAGACAACTAAGGGGGGATA